AAACCAACAATCAGTCTAGATGTCATGCTCAGTATAGAAAGATAATTATATGCCATTCTCAGGGTAGAAGACGCAAGAAAGATTCCAACCTCAGACTCAATGCATTGTGCCTTACCTAGGCCTATCAATCATATAGCTGAGAGGTAATCTGAATTACCAAAGATAGTACAATTTGAATTATCCCAATTCAAATGCCTTAATTAGCTTCCATATTTCTTGGGAATCCAAACAACAGAAACTTATCTCAAGGCAGGAGTATCTAATAAACATTAAGCTATCAAATATAAGAATAAAGTACCTGGATTTTAGTTACCTTTAAGACAAGCTCGTCAAAGCACTATTCTACATTCACTTGAGTTTTTGGACTGCACTCTATAAAAAGGCTGGGAATTCATATCCCCGAGCAAAGTCAATATCCTCCCTCCTTTTTGAGATCTCATGTTTCACCTTCCTGCAAAAAATCACCAATGTGAATTGTACCACTAAATTCCAGGTATAAAATAATAATGCTCAAGAATCATTCTCAATAACACTCATATAGGCCCATGAGAATATTTCAGATGAATTCAAGATTAAGTTCTGACTGGGGCAAAAATGAAACATGGATAAAGCAAAATTGATCCAACTAAAGGGATAAATTCACTACATCTTCAATCAATACCTTACCAATTTTGTTTCCAACAAGCATCTTGATGCAGTCCTGATTTGATGAGTACAGATAGATATGTGAATGTTTCCTGCAGGGTTACATCATATACGGTATCAATACCACAAATAAAATACTGCATCAGCATAACAGCCTCTAAGCTCTATTAGCAATTTCATTTACATGTCAACCACAAAAGGGAAAAAAAATTATATGAGTAATAAAACAGCAAGAGTATTCAAATCTAACCAACTAAGAATTAGCAGTAAGCTTCAGAAATCAAGTCAATTTGTTCATGGCTAAGCTTCGTTGCTCTTGCAGCTGGCTGCCATGAACTCATGAAACTTAAGGTCGTGGCATGATCTCTCTGTTATTTCTACTACTCGCTAGCTATTGATCAATTGCTAATTTAGTTCAAATTTGATGAATATCTCAACGACTGAGTGATTTGTGCTTTAAATTTCGAAATAATCTGTTTGAATTTGTGTTTGGCTCCACTGTATGGATGAATTCATTTCGAAAATTTAGCCTGGACACTTGGTTTCTACAGAGATCCGATTCATGATGCTGATCTTCAATATGCCAGATCTCCATTATATCTTGAACTGTTTGTTAGATTGATTGTTCATAGTTTAAATCTTCGTTTTGAATTTGAGAAGTTCTTCTTTAGAATATGTGTGATGAATTTGGAGTTCTATGTTCTGAATTCTGTGAAAATTTTGATTCAGATTCTATCCAAACACCAAATGTTTCTGTTTTTGCTAAAAATATCAGCTACGTTTCGTTTAATTTCCCTGTTTAATCGAGTTTAGTTTCGTCTAAATCAATCGTTTGATTTTGTCCCTGTTCCGAGTTTAAATCCAGTGAGATGTTCACAGGTGCTGAAAAAGAGTTGATCGAAGCTCTACTAGAGCTCCGATGACGAAAAGGTGACGATCCTAAAGCAGCAGGCAAATCCATAGGGATCCATGTCCACAGAGGCATCGAGCTTGTCGAGCAGCTGAGAAAAAACCGGCAGCAAATCTCGAGAAGTTAAGGAAGAAGCGTGGCTTTTTAGGTCAAGTGCGCCGCCGAGTCGAAGGGATTCTAAAGTTGCTTTCGAGCGGTGGCTTCTCTGAAGTGACGATTCGTCGAGTCCTCGGTGACTGCCCTACAGAAGCGAAGCCCTTAGAATGTACTCTCTCTCTGATCTGGATCTGAACCGCCGACGTGTCATATGATGTGGCAATTTCATTCGTACACGTCACAAAATGGTTTGATCATCTCAGCCGTTGGAATTGAAAATTCTGACGGATGGGATGCATCTAATCATATTGCTGAGTTTCTATTTTCTAACCACTTCATCTGTTTGGTTACATTGGGCCAAATATGTGCCAAACCCAAACGTGTTTGGTTATATTTGGGCCTGATGGATGTTTTTGGTTGCATGTTATCGACAGGCTTCATTGACCTCAATTACGTAGATGACTGATTAACGGTAATGGTAGGATACCAACTTTGGTCAAACAAATGGGAAGACCACTGCTGCTTATCAGAAATACTTACCAAATTTAGTCTAATTAGCAAGAAAAATATTTGGTGTGTGCAGGTTAGTGAAGCTAGAAGAAGTGAAGGGAGCAGGCACAGGAGGGCGTCATGGCCGTGATATTTACACGGTATTTATGCCCCTAATTTCATTCATTGCTCTTTCATATTTTCTTGTTTTCCAATCCCATTCTTCTTGTTCAACTGCCTATAAAAACTTAATATACAATAATCGAACTTGGATGTTAAAAATGAAATTGTAATTAGTAGTATAAAACAGTATTTTTTAGGTCGAATATTATATCGAATGAAAGAAATTTCTAATATGATAAGAAAATTTTAACAATAGAAATCTCATAATAACATAACAATAAAATAAATAAAATAAAAAATAAGTAAAAGAAAAATATAATGTGATTTCAGATAGTGTCAGAACATTATAATGTATCAAAAAAATTTCACATCAAATATATAATAAAAAAATAATTTATATTGATATGAAATTAATATTGAATTAAATTTTCTCTTTTACAAATAATATAACTGACTAGATAAATGATATGTATCAAAATATGTGTTTTAAGGATATAAGGTAATAGAATATATAAGTAGTGCTATTACTTTATGTATGGGTAACATAGACAAATGAGAAACATTTCAAAATTACCAGCCGTGGCAAAGCCGTAAAAGAACGGTTTAATATTGTTGCTTTACAATAACTTTCATATATTTTTAAGTACTTCATCATGCCTTAAAATAACTTCTGCAGTTGAAAGTACTTTCATGTATCTTGTAAAACTTTATAGAAGTATTTTATCTGTAAGACAATAGAATTCAAAGGCAGTGTATTTAACCTCTAGACTTGGGGAAGATTCTCTTATTTCCAATTTACCCGAAGAACCTACCTCCTTTGAAATCAAGTTTTGGTTTTTTTAGGATGTATCCTTTAACCCCTGAACCGAGTTTAAGGAAACTTGGGATCAGCTGGTCAATTCCAACTATGCATTTTATCTCATCTTATAACTAGTTCTACAGCAGAAAGTATATTATTGTATCCCTCACAGTTTTGTAGGAGACTTTTGCTTGCAAAATATAGAATTCAAATGTTAGATTTTATTCATGCAAAATGAATTGGGCATGATATGCATGATTCTACCTACGGTACATGGTTCTAAGATTTAATAATCTAATCCTAAAATTTAATAACCTTAGTTAAGGTGTTGATTCCTTAAAATATTCTACTAGTTTATATTATGTAAATTAAAGACTTTTAACATAAAAATAGTACTGGTGAATTGTGGCGGTGCATTTGTAATTAATTTCCTATCACATATGAAAATGGGAAGACTTGGTGAAGCTGAAAACACTCCAACCTCGATCAGGCTGCGTTGCATTGTGCCTTACTTCAGTCTATCGACAAATAGTCGTGCAGTAATCCAGATAGACAACTATAGTTCAGAGCATCAAATTCTAGCAGGAAGGAAATCTTTCCATCTCAACCCTAGATTAACTCTGTACCTCAAAAGATAAAATTCAAAATTAACATAAAATCTGAGCCACAACCACTAAAGGGTAACCCAAATGGCAGAGACAAGTGATTAAATATTAGACGGTAATCCATGCACCTAAAAATGCAGAAACATTATAGTAAATTTACTATCGATCAAATGCTTCAATGATATTAGCAGTTATCCATGTCTCAACACTATTATGTCAAAATTAATTATTTGTCTGATCAAAATAATTACATAGGCAAAAACAAATTTCTATGCTGATCTTTAATCATGTTAGAACATTGCATATTTCCCTTCTTTCATAAATATCAACCAAAATGCACTTTTTGCTAATTTTTTGTCTTTAATAATATTAAATAATTATTATGTTTTTATTTTTATATTAATTTATCATAAAAAATATATCAGCTTAATAAACAAAATTTACTAATTAAACAAAAAAAATAAAATTTTTTC